GGGCGCGCGGTGCTCAGTGCGCGCCGCCGCCCCTCCGGCCCAGCTTGCCGGCCCGCCCTCCCTACCCCTTCGGCCCGCTCTCGTCGCCCCCACCCCTTCTCCTCTCCCGGGCCCGGCGTCCGGGTGCGCGGTGCGGCGCGACGATCGCGGCCTGGCGATCGGGGCACGGTGGTCGTGGCGCTCGAGGGTGGCGCGCAAGGCGCGGGGCGCGAGGCCAGACCTGGCGTGTCTGGGTGTGGGGGGCGGGCAGCGGCGGAGCCCCCAGAGGAGAGCAGGGGCAGGGGGGTACCGAGGTAATGGGCAGGGCCTGGGCGCCCGAATGCGAGGGGTGGGAGCTCCAGGAGCACTTCGGCCCTGGCGGGGCAGGCAACGGGGCGCCCGGGGCGGCGGGAATGCAGCCGGGCGGGGAGGGAGGGAGGGAGGAGACGGCTGGGCTGGGCCGGGGGGCTTGGCCGACGGGGAGCAGGTGGGCGGGGACAGGGGCCCTGCTGGAAGAGGCGCAGCAGCGAGGTGGCGGGCTGCGTGCGCAAACAGGGCGTCCGCCTCCTGGGCCCGGGAGAACGGTGAGGCCGTTTGGGTTGGGCGCCCCAGCCCCGAGGGCATGGTTCCGTGTCCAGGGCCACCGAGCTGGGCGCGGAGCACTGTTGGGGGCGGATCTGCAGGCCTGGCCGGGCCAAGGCGCTGGGGGTCTTGAGCAGACCCAGGAGAAGAGTGTTGCTGGGCCAAAAGCAGGAGTTGGTGGGTAGGGCGCTGGTGGTGGGCGACGGTGGATGAGAACAGGCACTTTCAAGGCTGGCATGAGTGGAAAGGGACCAGGAGGGCCCAGAGTTTGAGTTAGAGCATAATTTGCAAGTTCCGTGTCACTGGGTGGGTTGATGAGTCATGAGATCTGGAGATCACAGAAGCCTTCCTAGCGATCAGTTCTGAGTGAGGGAAATAAAATGGGTTAGGATTTGGAGAAGTGGTTTGGAGGCCACGTCTTGGGGCACCAGGTGCTCTGATGGCCGCCAGTCCCCATGCGAGGGACTTTGGGAGAAATGTCCCAGAGTGCTGTGATTCAGAAGCTTCAGCCTGGGGTGGCGTTAATTAATGAAGGTCTTTGTGGTGGCCAGTCTTTGCCTTCCTTCCTTTCCAGGCCTTCAGGATTCAGCTGTGTTCCTGTGGGGAGTGGGTTAAAAATTCCTCTGGCCTGCAATCAGCCTTACAGTAGCCACCAGGGGCAGGAGGGACATATACATGTGTGGCTGCAGCAGCCTTCTCTGTCGTGGAGCCCTCACGCTTCCTCACTGTTGCCATAGTAACGGCCTATTGATGGTGTATTTATAGGGGAAGAAGCAGGCGCTAAATTTTGGGGAAGGAGGGGGAGGAAGCCTCATGGCAGCAGCAGCAGCAGCAAAGGCGGCTACAGAATTGTTAATGGAGTGGACCATTCCTTGTGAGCTGTTGGGAGTTCCTGGCTTGTTTGAAGCTTTAAAATGAGCTAATGACTTTTGCAGGTGTCAGGATAGCACACATTCGGGGCTGTGATATGTGTGGGTGTGCACGCACCAAAGTCGGGTGTGTTTGGGACAAGAGGTGGCTGTATGTAAGCTGTTACGTAAGTTTTCCACATCAAAATTTTAAAAAACCCACTGCAGTTCTCTTTTATAAGCAACGAAATATATATTTTTCTCTCTTCACTTATTAGTAAAGCCTTTACTCATTCTTTTCAAACCCTCACACAACAGCTCCATTTTTCTTCAATCAAAAACCTTGCTGTTAGGCATGCCACACCCACACCCTTGCCACGTGACTGGCATTGGCTCCAGGGGAACCTCAGAGATCCCTAATGGAAGCAGAATTGTGAGATGAGAGTCCATCCTCACTCTTATAAATATTGAGGGTCAACTTTTCTCACAATGGCTGGCCCATCTGTTGACAAATTCACACGTTGATAGTTTGGGGTGGGATTGTCGTGGGGTTTGAAAGAGAAAAGCCCCCTTGACATGGTGTTTCCATAGATGGGTGTTAGATTTGCTGTTTTTCCTTTAGTTTTAATTTTATTTATGATTTATATCTTACCTGCTTGCCCAAAGGATTAGAAGATATATATAAAACTCTGAAAACATGAATAAAAAATTATGTACCACGTCGCAGGAGACAAGCATATGTGCTTAACAGCTGGGCTTCCAGGACGCCTGTGCTTGATGGTCAATGTTAACGCTGAACTTCCTGGCAGCCTACGTAAAAAGGGTAGCACAATGGGTTCCACCATTCACATGTCTTGCATCCAGTCAGTCATAAAACCAGAGCTTCTGCTAGGGGAGGGGAACAGCAGGGTAATTGCTCCCAGATGTGGACAGCTTGGCCAGTGCTCTGGAATCTGTGCAGGAGTGGGAGTGGATGTTGGGGAGAGTAGTGTGCTGTGGCTATGGTTTACATACTGGCTGGATAATTCCTGAGCAGGAGTAAGGCTTTCAGACACTAACTCACATTTGAGGCAACACTTGCGTCTAGTTAGCATCTCAGTTTTGATCACGTCAATCAATGTCTTGGTACTCGGCTGCAGTGTTCTTTAATGCAAAGAGAGGAGACATGACTGGTTTCAGGAGATCCTTGCCACCCTGTCGGTGAAGACGAACACAGCAGGTCATGTGGGTTTGGGCTGTGACTTTGGAGATGGTTGTTGGTGCCTTGGTAAGCTTCTTAAACATGTGCTACCTGCTTTCAAGGAACTTGCCCAGAGGTATCTGGGATTTGCCATTATGAGGAAAACTAGTCCCCAAACCGGGTCCTGTCTCTGTCACTGTTGATTTGCTTGACCTCGTCTAAGTTCTTGTCTCTCTGAGGTCCTTTCCAACTCAAAAGTGCAAAGATTCTTTGAGGGAAGTGAAGAGGGAGGAACCTGGGCCTGTATATGTTTTTCTTTTTTCAAGAAAAAAGTCAACCCTTGGGTCTTCTAGACTCTCAGAATATGTTCTTGGAGGAAATAGCTGGAAGGTTTGCTTTGGGCTCTGCAGGGCCTCAGGGAGCTCTGGGAGGAGAGCTTGGGAAAGAGTGGGAAGCAGTAGAACTATGAGAGGCCGCCCAGAGGGTGATCTGCCTCCTAAGGTGCTGCTTTGAGCTTTGACCAGGCCAGTGGGCATGGGGGGCACATCCCAGGGCCAAGAGGGTGCCCTGTAGGCTTGGGGTGTGATTTCACCGGGACTCTGCTTTTCTTCTTTGCCAGGCAAGTGAGACGCTGGACCTGAGGGAGCACCATGGCAGGTGAGATTTTCCGGGCCCAGTCCGAGTGGTGGAAGGCCATGCCTGGGGGCTCATGGGAATGGTGCATGTCCACCTTTCAAGTCCTTCCCTGCTTTCCTTTCCCCAGGGGGTCCTGGTGGCCCCTGTCCACCTGTCTGGGTAGCAGCTTCCCCCTCTCAACTCTTTGGCTCCCTTCTGGAGCTCGTGCTCACTTGTACATGTGCACATACCCAGGGCACTGTGAGAGAAAATAATATGACATGCCGTGGGGCCTGGGGAAGGGTAGGTGCCTGCCTGCCAGCAAAGCCCTATCTGGGCACCAAGAGGGGCTGGCTAACCTGAGAACTAGGAAGTCCAACTCTAGGGGAATACCAAGAGCAGATGTCACCTCTTCTTTCATCCTCTAAAGTCTCAGCTCAGGCTTATGGGGGTGCATAGCTCATAGCATGCCAGTCAGCTCAACTGTAGCTGGGTTTCTTCCTTTGGAATAAGTAGATATGGCTACGACTCAATGATATTTTTGCAGGAGGCTTCTGTGCCCAGTCTACAAAGGCTTAGATCCTCCATATAGACCCTGCTACCCCCTTTCCAGAGGCACCCTCAAGTTCATGTGCATCCAGTCCCCTGATGTACCCCAGCCTGTGTTTATACTAGATTATCTTGGGCAGGGCTGTTGATGCCAGGTGAGTTGACGGCACAGGTGGCCATTCAGGTGGAGGGGCGCCACCCTGGTAGAGTATTATGGGGCTATTTGGTGTTTGTCACCAGCATCAGCTTCAAACGGGAATGAATTCTCGTGATAAGAGCTCCAATTTTCACTTTTTGAAGTGAAGCGGAAGATACTGGGTGGTTTTTCACTGATGGTTATAATACCCAAAATCCTTCATGCCCCTTGTTCTTATGCAACATGCACTTTCCTCTCAGTCGGATCCCACATTCCTCCATAGCACCAGAGGCCTGAGTCTTGTTGGGTCTGTGGTATTCTAGGCAGATACATCATGGTGTCACAGAAAGTCAGCCCTTCCATCCCTTTTACAAACGGCCAGCTGTGTCTGGGGTGGTGTCTTGCCTGTTGGCTTTGTCTTGTTTCCTTCCATCATCGTGCTTCTGTGCCTGGGCTGAGTCTGGTTTGAAGGAGCCCCTGGATACGTCCCCATTCCAGGCCTCAGTGCAGCTCTTTCCTCAGTGTTTCTGGAGGCCAAGAATGCCCATTCGGTCCTGAAGCGGTTCCCTCGTGCCAATGAGTTCCTGGAGGAGCTGCGCCAGGGTACCATCGAGCGGGAGTGCATGGAGGAGATCTGCAGCTACGAGGAGGTCAAGGAGGTGTTTGAGGACAAAGAGAAAACGGCATGTACCACTCTTGGGCTGGGGCTTGGAGCAGAGGTAGCCTCAGGGATAACCAGAGCAGGCCCTGGTACCTCAGACAAATCAGAAGCAATGAAGGAAAGCCAGCCCCATCCAAGGCAGGGCCAGTGGGGCTGTACAAGAACAGAGTCCCATCTGCCTGCCTCTGGGGGCCTCCTCACTTGGAAGCCATGTCCTTTGTCCTTGGTGTATTCCATAGCCTCTTTGATAGCTCTCACTATCGGAGGCCAGTCAGATGGGGCAGGGTGGGGAGCAGCTGCAGGCCCTGCCAAACGTAATACCTGACTTGCTGAAGGACTCTGTGGTCCGTCTGGGGCATAAGCTCTTATGTGTAAGTGTAAGTGGCTTTTCTTATTCTTTTGCAGATGGAGTTCTGGAAGGGGTACCCGAATGCAGTCTACTCAGTCCGAGACCCCGCGCAAAGCTCAGATGCCATGTATGTGGTGGTGCCCCTTCTGGGGGTGGCATTGCTGATTGTCATTGCCTTGTTCATCATCTGGAGGTGCCAGCTGCAGAAAGCCACTCGTCATCACCCCTCGTATGCTCAGAACCGGTACCTAGCCAGTCGTGCTGGGCACAGTCTCCCCCGGGTCATGGTATACCGGGGCACTGTGCATAACCAAGGGGAGTCCTCTGGGCACCGGGAGGTGGGATGCAACCCTCAGGTGGTACTAGGGCCCAGTCGGGGGGGCAGAACCACAGTCCGCCTCGAGAGCACCCTCTACCTCCCTGAGCTCTCTCTCTCCAGACTGTCCAGTGCCACCCCTCCCCCATCCTATGAGGAGGTGACTGCACCCCAAGAGAGCAGCAGTGAGGAGGCAAGTGTCTCTTACAGTGACCCACCCCCAAAGTATGAGGAGATAGTGGCTGCCAACCCTGGCTCAGACAAGTAGTGGGACTTGTGTCCTGTCCAATGTGAAAGCCTCTTTCAGGGGTCTCCTATTTTCTTTTTAACTTTTTAAAAACTGTGCCACCACAAAACAGCCTTAGCCTCCTTGTTGCCAAATAATTTCCTAACCGTGGATTTTTAGGAAGTCAGTTGTCAGAGACAGGTGGAGGGGGGGGTAGGAAACATGCATGCGTCAAAGCCCCGGGGAGAGCCACAGGCTAGAGAGCCCAGCTCTTCCAGAAGCTCCCACACCCCTGCCATCCTGTCCTCCCATCAGGGACTGGCTTCTCTGATGCCAAAGGAATCACCCCTTTGAGTTGATTGTGGCCAGAATGTCTGTAGGCTCGGGCCCTGGGGCCATGCAGCTGGCTGGAGACCTGTCTGTGTCTGGAAGCCTAGGCCACAGAGATGAGGGAGAGAAGCTAGCCCTTCAGCACCTTTTTTCCTCGACAGTCTGTGCTTTCTGTTCTTGCTTACATTTTGAGGACAAAAACAAGAACTGAACAAAAAACAAAAAGAGTAATAAAAAATAAATAACGAACACAACAAAACACAAAAATATACCCTGGGCCATTCATAGCAGGCCAAGGGAAATTAGTCACACAGATCTGTGATACCCCCTCCCCAACTCCCACCCCCACACTCCTGACCAGCTTAAAAGGAATGTCTCAAGCAGCCTGGAAGGAGGACAGGGTGTGTGAAGAATAGGGGGCAGGGGCCTGGCTGGCAGAGTTACCTCCTCCAGATTGAGTAGGGGGCCCGTGTGAACTTGGGCATCCTGAAGGGTAGTTCTGGGTCTAGTGTGCTGGGCCTCCCCCAGACCTTGGATCTCCAGACACATGTACTGGCAGTGCTAAAACCGCTACCCACTGGCATGAGCCCAATCATAGCCCTGGGAAAACCGACGCTGTTGACCCTGTCCATGGAGCCTGTGGCCTCTGAATGGCTGGGGTAAAGGCTGGGGCAGAGAGTTGAAGTTTTCTTCTTGTGACATCAATTGGCCCATAGGATGATTAAACCCACAAACTTGGCCTCCTCAGCACTATGCTCTCTGGCTTTGAAGTTTTAGGATACTTCTCTTTTTGTGAATAGGTGCATTGAGTTTCAGATGGCTGATTTCTCTTTAATGATGGTGCCCTATCTGGAGAGAAGATCCCAAAGTCTCCCTTTTTAGAAGTTTCTTTGTGGAGGAGATGGGGAAGTCCATCACCTGGGTCAAAGGCCCATCTGGTATTTGCTCTGTCATTGCCAGGTGGTGGTCCGCTTTTAGTAACGCTTTTCTGTGGCCCGGGAGCTGTCCACCTCCCCATTTCAGTGAGGCTTCGGACAGCAGTGGGGCAGAGGTGACCCGCCCTTTAACTGTCAATTACCAAGCAAAAGACGCTGTCAACACCGCCTCCCCCCACCCCTTCATCTCCATCTTCCTGGCCTCAGTGCCAAACCATGTTTCCTCTGTGGTGCTTCAAAAAATGTAGCAAATTTTTGTGGGGCCCATAAGAGTGCACAGCCAGGGTCTATTAGCAACCACAGCAGGTTAAAACCCACTGAGAAGACAAACTTCTTTCTGTCTAAACAGCTCTCCAAGGCAGGCATCGAGCCTTGTTCTTTGAATGCAGCCCTGCCTTCAGGCCACAGATGACTTCTGGAGGCCTCTCCAGTCCTGGGGACTTGCCTCAGGACATGCTTCAAGTCAGGAGGCTTGTGTTCTTATCCCAGTGAGGCCACCAGCTTGGACATCTCAACCCTGTGGCTGGGGTTTTCCATCCTTCCCCCTACCTCACAGGCCTATTGGAGGCTGACTGAGCTAATGCCTGTGCAGTGCTTGAAGCACCAGGGAGCCCGTGCAGTTTGCCGTTAGGAAGATTCTTCTAGAAATTTGTAAGTTATAGGGGACCAGTCTTAGTGGAGTCCTTCCTATGACTCTGATGTTGAGTCTCAACCTGGGCAGTCAATCTCCTGCCAGTTGACACTTTCTGTCCCCTTGCCCCTTCCCCGAGAGCTCCCTGATGCCAGAGGTGCTGACCATGTGGCATTCCACCTTTCCTTCCTTCCTCTTTTCCTCCCTCTGGGCCTCTAGCACTGCACTCCTGCCCTTCCTCACAAAGGCATTTGCAGCCCAGAAGGCCCCTGCTTTTTCCATGATGGAGGTTGGGGTCAATCCTGTTTGGCCATCTTGGAGGACCTGGGGCAGCCTGCAGATCTGGGGCCAGCTCCTGCTCTCCCAGCATTTCCTCAGGCAGGTGCCTGCATGTGACCTGAGAGCATGGGGAGAGATACTTACACCTATGTGTCTCCTCCCCACTGATCGGATAGCATGGGCTCCACTGACCAGAGCTAAAGGGAGTATGCCAAAGAATGCCTGCTGCCCTTGGCATCTGTTGAGCCCTTCCCTGCCGAGCTGCTGGATAGTTTGCAGCTGGGTGAAGATGGGAGAGAGTGAGAAGCAGAAGCCTGGCCCGGTGGAGGGCAGCACGTGTCCTTCAGGCACTGTGCTCTCCGGTTCAGGTGCTTCGCAGCATTCTTCAAGGTGGGGTTGCCCCTGTGGTCTCTGGGACATTTTTCACAGTATGTTGTAGAAAAAAGACTGTACAGTACACCGTGGTCATAACTCCTTGCGGTGCACATTTGGCTTTCACGAATCCCCTGTACATATCTTTTCAAACTCTGTCTTTTATGGACGTTCATTTGATACAATGCTAATTCTGCAGTAGCCACATTTTTATTGTTTTTGGACTTGTGTCTGTGTGTATGTGTGTGTGTGTACACGTGTGCACGTTGCCTTTTCTCACATGCTTTTCTGAAACAATAGCCAGTGTGTGGCTATATTTGTACCAGGAGGGTTCCGCTCTGAAGGGAGGAATGTCACCTCCCAGTGCTGGGGATCCTGAAGACAGGGCCCTGAGCAAAGAAAGCCGAGATTAGCTGTCAAAGCCCCCCAAAGTCGCCACCTTCTGCCCCCCTTCATGAAAGGCTTTGGAAGAAGATGAAGCAGCTCCATCCAGTGGGCCTCCTCCCTGTGGGACCCCCCCACTCACACGATCTTTGGGCGTGGTGTCCCCAGCCTGGGCTCCTGTTCTGTGGGCGTTAGCAGCTGAAGGAAATCTGACGACTCCTGGGTTTTATTTTTTTTTGGTGGAAAGATGTGTGACCATTGACTTTGGGAATGGTGGGGCTAGTTACTTAGATATTTTTCATTAAAAAAAAAGAAAAGGCTTTAAAAAGTTCCTTGAAATATGACTTTCACTTGTTTTCAACCAAAAACTTTTGAAGACTTCTTAAAACAAGAATCGCAATCCTGTCCCTCCCCCGCCGCCCCCCATTGCCTGGGGTTTTCTAAATGAAAGCACACGAGAAAGAGTGGAGCGCACAGGTGCCCAGCGTGTGCAGCACCAGCACAGCTGCATTGCGCCCTGGCTGATGGAAACACAACACTGAGCAGTCTGACCCGGAGGCCAGGGGCCTCCTCTTCTACTTGCGAATCCCACTGCCATTAGTGTGAATTCCACAGGATGCTTTGGAAAACAGGAATCTGCTTGGTTTATTGGATGTTGTCCTTTTGGTAGCCCAAATATGAGGAATTCGGGACAGGAGTGTCTTTTTGTTAAGGAGTTGGAGCCAGATGATTCCTCTCTGGCTGGGGGTTGATCTTTTGACAACCAAATGGCATCCCACGAGAAGAATTAAAAAACAACACTGCCTTTAGATTGTTCTGTTGTCCGAGAGAGAGATCATCGGGAGAGACTCTTTTACCTACGCTCTGTCTTTCTAGGAGTGTGCATGTGTGCTATGTCTCATGTATGTGCCCTCAAGTTCAAGGCTGAGATGGAGAGCTGGGCAGCAAAGCTGCTGGTCTAGGCTGCTTTACAGCTTGACGAGTAATGAAGCTCTGTTTCAAGATTGTGCCGATTGGATTCAGAAACAAGCACATCCTCCCCACTGAACTCTATACTCATGCTAATCAGTATAATTAGCTAATTTAAAAGTACTGTAATCAGACTGCCTGCAACTATGATAAAAACCCATTAATTTGAAGCCCACTAATTCAGAACTTGGAGAAAATCACAACTTAAGATAATTCACGGTATCTGTGATTCTTGCTTCATAGAAATATTTGAAATATTCTTCCCTTTAGTCAATTTTCAGGGTCATATGTGTAAGAGGGATCTAGTTTAAAATGAGTACCTTTTTCAAATACAAGGCTCAAGATATTAAGGATCCCTTCACTGTGCCTTCAGCTTTGGGGTTCAGCAATTCTCAGATGTAAGGCTCTTTCTGTACAGGATGCTCTCTTGTTCTCTCTCCATTGTGGGGATGTTGAGTATTGCAGTTTTTCATTCTACTCCTTTATTTACCCTATTAATAACATAGTTTGTGAACTAGACTGCAATTTAAAGTAATATAACTGTGTATCTTGCTAAAAATTCTGTAAAGCAGATGTTTCGCTATCAGACTGGCCACTCCCATCATTCGCCCCAGCTTTTCCTTTCACAGGCTGTGGGTGGTGAGTCTCTCTCTAGCAAGAATTTTTCAGACAAAGATATCCTAAGAGCACACCCCCTCGGGCTCAATGCCTCAACAGTTGTTCCACTGTACTGAGAGCTCTGACCATTCAACAGCGCCTGCCCTTCTCCCGCCCCCAGCCAGAGCATTAACACAGATATTCAAGATTGGGACAAATCCCACAGCTGCTTTTGCCTCCCAATCTGTCTCCCCTTACAGATAACCACTTTCCCAGGCCTGAACACACCTGCTATTCACTCTGTGATCGTGAATTTGTGACAGTGGAAGCCCTGATATGCGCAACTGAGCTTATAGACATGATTTCTGTGAAATGGATTAGTTTTGGTACCACTTTAAACTGTGCTTGTATTCATGTGTTGACCCATGCCAGCTGGGAAATCTGTAAGTTCAGTAATATGTCAGGATTTCACTGGAGCCTGGGGGCAACTAATAAACTTGCTTCTGATTTCTCTCTCTCTCTCTCATTGTTGAGTTTAGCTGTTAAATTTTGTCTCTTTCTGTACAAGAAGTTAATGAATAATAATAAAGAGCAAATGACATTCACTTGCATCCTGTCCTGTTCCATCTTGGATCCCTGCTGTTTCCCAAACTTCCATGGGGCATGGATGGTTATGGGCCAAATTTGTTTTTCCAAAAGTCAGACTTTAGATAAGGAAACAGTCCAAACCAGTTTAGAAGCAGGAAGCAGAGATGTCCTGGGTATTAAGGTTTGTCCTCATGTGTGTAAGATAATCTCCTGACTCATCCCCCTGGGATGAAGTTAGTAAGATCTGTCACAAATCACATTAACAACTTCCCTGTCACCCGATCTCTGGTTACCAACAGAGATGTCCCTTGCTAGAAGGATGCCTTGTTTGGTTTCAGAGCTGGGGGTGGGGCAGTAGGAAGAATTTTTCCTGTGCCCTATGTAGGTGGGACATAATACTCAGGCTTTGTCCTGGCTCAGCTTCCTGAATTCTGAGAATGGCAAGAGTCAGAGACTG